GGCGACAGTCGTTGCTTCGAACGTTGCAAGCTACGGCTCGTCTTCAAGCCGAACGTGGCAAGGCAGCTCCGGTGACACCACCCAAGGCCGCTCCGAAGGTTTTGATGGATCGTCTTCAAGCCGAACATGGCAAGGGAGCTCCTGTGACACCATCCAAAGCCGCTCCGAAGGTTTTGGCGCATCCGGGGAGTTCGGCTATGGAGGGTTCCGCTCTGGAGATGGACGACGATGTGGTGGAAGGGTTCGAGTTTGCGAGCCAGTTTTCGCCTCCTTTCGGAACCGAGAATCAGTACTTGGGCCTGGAAGGTCCAGCTCCTGTGGAGGAAGAGTCGGGGCACCCAGCTCCATCTCTGGCGGAAGAAGAGGCGGAGGATTCGGGCAGCCGCGGCTTGAAAGCAGCGAAATCAGCTGCGCGGCGGCTTCTGGAAGACTTAGTCCGGGAGCAAGAGAGGCAAGACATGCTGGCGCCACCGCCGGCACCACACATGCCATACAGCGCTCTGGAAGGCGTGCGGATGGGCTTCTTGAATCCGGAGCAAATCCAGGATTTCGTGGAGCGATCCAATGTGGCAAAGAGTGTGGCCAAGATGAGGCCGTCGGGTCCTCCAATGATACCGCCGGCACCGCCTCCCGTACCTGCCCAAGTTCCGCGCACTCTACCTCCACCACCTCGCGTTCCGGCTCAGGTGCATCGAGATCGATTTCAACCATACCCGCCTATGTGGATTATGCCGTTCCCGGCTCCTGTGGCGCACCCGGCTCCGATGGTATTTCCGCCTCCTGTGGCACGCCCGACACAGATGATGCCAAAGCCGGCTCCCACGATGGCCAGATGGATCGCTCGGGACACACCGGTTCCCACAGAGGCGCCGAAGCCAGTTCCCACAGGGGCACCGAAGGCGGTTTCCACAGGGGTGCCAGCAGCAGTGGTTCCTACGACGGCACCGCCGCCCTCTCCGACCACGGCGCCGCTGCCTTCCCCAAAGACGGCGCCACCGTCTGTTACAGCCACGGTGCCAAAGCCCTCGACGTCGATGACTCCAGCGGCACCGCACGAGGCACCAAACGAGAATCA